CCTGGGTTTCTATAGAAATTTTATAACGTTTTGCCTTTTTCTTCAATACCCAGCTACATCAGCAGCACTATAAGTACCTATTCTCAGAAATAATTTATTGCCGGGCGTGGTGGCTCATGCCTGTAATCCCAGCACTTTGGAAAACCAAAGTGAGTGGATTGCTGGAATCTAGGAGTTGGGGACCACTCTGGGCAATGTAGCAAAACCCTTTTTCTACAAAAAATACAAATATTAGCTGGGCATAGTGGCATGTACCTGTAGTCCCAGCTACTTGGGAGGCTGAGGCAGGGGAATTACTTGAACCCAGGAAGCAGAGGTTGCAGTGAGCTGAGACCATGCCATTGTACTATAGCCTGGACGATGGGAGTGAAGCCTGTCTCAAAAAAAAAAAAAAAAAAAGAAATGATTTATAACAAATTGACCTGTCGTACTTTCTCAGGCTGACAGTAGTTGACAAATGTAGTTGTAATTGTTTTTCCTTTATCCACTTGTTTCTCTATTCGTATATTTAATTCTCTATGGTCCTAACTTAAAAAAAAAGGCCATAATAACAGACCAACTGCTGCCTATATAAATGTAATCTCTTTCTCCTCCTCTCTCCTCTCCTCTCTTTTTTTTTTTTTGGTAAGAGATAGGGTGCTTGTTATTTGGGCCCCAAAGCTAGTCTTAAACTCCTGGCCTCAGCCAATTCTCCTGCCTCAGCCCCTCCAAAACCAAAGTACTGAGATAAGTTAGTGACCCCCGCCCACCCCATGTCTGGCTAAATGTATCCATTTATTTTTATTTATTTAATTTATTTTTTTTTCTTGAGAACAGAAGTCCTTGGGGCCTCCTGCCACGCCAGGCTGGAGTGGGCAGTGGTGGCCAATCTTCCTGCTCCCACTGCAAACTTACTGCCTCCCCAGGTTCAAAGCAATTCTTCCTTGCCTCGGCCCTTCCCCAAGTAGCCTGGGGAATTAGCCGGTTGCCTGCGCACCATGCTGGCTAAGTTTTGTATTTTTAGTGGAGACAGGGTTTGCCACCATGTTTGCCAGGGCTGGCTTAAAAAACTCTGACCTCGAAGTGATCCAACCTTGCCTCGGCCTCCCAAAGTGGCTGGAATTGCCAGCGTGGCCCACCTCTCCCAGCCCAAATTAAAATTCTTACTGTTAATGAAAAGAATAACAAAATTTCTTTTAAAGATGCAAGCTGTGTTGCACTTAGATGATTCAACATACATACAACCTTACCAGGAATAAACCTCCAGCGATAGCACCAAAGTAATTTCTACCCAAAATGTTTGAACTTTTTAAAACAAAGCCCAAAATTTAAATATATCAGAAATACATATTTTCAAAATGCTGTTTACATAGTAGTTCGTTAAGACCTTTCCTTTGGCCGGGCGGGCGGTGGCTGCCAAGCCCTGTAATCCCCGCCACTTTGGGAAGGCCCGAGCCGGGCCCGGAATCACGAGGTCCAGAAAGATCGAGACCATTCCTGGCTAACACGGGTGAAACCCCCGTCTCTAGCTAAAAAATAGCAAAAAACTAGCCCGGCGAAGGTGGCCCAGGCGCCGCTGTAGTACCCCAGGGAGGCTGAGGAAGGAAATGGTGTAAACCCCCAGGAGGCGGAGCTTGCAGTGAGGCTGAGATCCGCGCCATGCACTCCAGCCCCTGGGCGACCAAGAGGCGAGAGTCCCGTCTCAAAAAAAAATAAAAATATAAAAAAAAGACTTTTCCCTAAGGACAGGATATTGTTCCTGTCACCCCCCAGGGCTACAGTGGCGTGGCCACAAATCCTAGCCTGCCACTGCAGACTTGAACACCTTGTGGGTTCAAGGTGATCGTCCCACCTTTAGGCCTCCCCCAAGTAGCTAGGACTACAGGATGGCACGCCAGTAAGTCTGGCTATTTTTTTTAAAAATGCGCGTAGAGGCAGCTGTCTACTATTTGCCCAAGCTGGTCTTAAATTCCTAGCTTTAAGCAAAATCTCTAAACCCTGGCCTCAAACGTGGCTGGGATTACAGGTGTGAGCCCATTGTGCCCACAGCCAGAGTTTAAGACCTTTTTAAAAATCTATTTCTTGAGAACTACTGTATGTGCTTGGCTCTGTGTAGGGCCCTTTACAGTACCATCCTCCATTTAATCCCAGCACACCTAAGTATCCATTATCCCCTTTTTACCAGATTGATGATACTCGGTGTTGTATAGAAAGTGAAGGACTTGGCTCAGAACCTTCTTTGAGCAGGTGACCTAGTTGGGATCCAAACCCCAAGATCTATCCGACCTGCAGACTCAGTTTCCATTCCCAGCAAACACCTTGTAAAATACTACAGAGGCAGAAGGCTTGTGAAGCCCTTAAATACCCAAGGAGGGCGCCTTCAAAAACCCCAAAGGACGGGCACATTCAGTTTCCTTGGTGTCTTCTGTGGCTCCCCATTCCGCATCCCCTGATGCCAGGGCCCAACCCCTGGCTGTGCATTAAGATCCACGAGGAGACACCCACTTAAATATGAAAACACATTATAAAGAAGCCCTCCTGTCCCTTAACTATGTCTTTGGGCAAGTTATTTTCCATCCTATTTTTT